AATCAATGCATGGCCGTAACCCTCCGTCCTTCTTCTTTACAAAGAAGAACCCGGCTGAAGCAGGAGAAGTTGAGGGTCGAATGAATCCCTTAGATAGTTCCTCGTCAATGTAAAGTTTCATGGCCTCAGATTCGGGTTGAGATAACGGGAAGATTCTGCCTTTAGGAGGAGTGGTGCCGGGCATTAAGTCAATAGCACAATAAACAGAACGGTGAGTGGGAAGCTGAGACGCCCCTTTTTGACTGAAGGCGTCGGCGAGGTCCGAGTATTCTGAGGGCAGAGAAAGATTGTTTGGGACTGGAGCAGGGGATAGAGAGGCATTGCTGGAGGTGCGGGTAATTTTGCTCAGGCAATGATCTTGACATTTGACGTCCCATTGAATAATTTGTCCCTCCCTCCAAGAGATGAGAGGATTGTGAGTGCGGAGCCAGGGCAGTCCTAGGATGATAGTGTGACTGGGCGAGTGGATGACGAAGAATTGTATGAATTCAGAGTGCAGGGTTCCAACCTGTAATTTGACTTCTTCGGTGATGCTTAAAATCCTCCCCTCTCCAAGGGGCCGTCCATCTAACGCCTCCACTGCTAGGGAAGAGTTACAAGGAGTCAGTTTTAGTTTGTGGTGCTGAGCGAATTCATATGAAACAAAGTTACCAGCCGCTGCTTCGAAGGTGGGGAATGCTGAACCGTCCATCCTCCAGACAGCGGTGGCCCAATCCAATGCTCTCCCGGTGAGTAGTGAGCAGGTGAAAGCAATGCGGCTAGAATCCGTGGGGTAAAGCGAGGGCTGTTGGTTGACGAAGAGCGAGCACTGAAGTAGGAAACCCTTGCATTTGGCAGGTGCTCCGTCGAATTTCTCAGGTAAAGCAAGTCGTGGGCTGACTGGAGGTGTCTGAGCAGGCTGTGGGCTCCTGAGAACAGATGGCGGATTAGACATGGCTCCGGGGGGTGATATGCTGATGCCTTGCAGTGCCTTGACGAGCTCCTCAGTCAATGTTGTGAGCCGATTTAACTGGTGTTGATGTATGGCGAGTTGTGTGGCCTAAGCAGAGAGCTCTGTTGATAATTGTAGGAGCGCTGCTGGATCGCTGTTTGGCGAAGTCTTCTGTTGCGACACATCAGAAGGGTTTGGATCCATTTGCAGTTTATTAAGAATCGTCAGACAATACAGGGTCAAATACCGGCAAGGCAGAACAGTAGAGACAAGGCAGCGGCAGAATCGAGAACCAGGCGAGAGATCGGGGCAGGCGGCTAGAGAACAGAGTCCGGGTGAAACAATCCAAGTCGGGGCAGGCAGATAACAATCAGAGAAACAGGAAACAGTCCAAGATCAAAGCACAGAAAACAAAACACGGGTATAACGCTCGGAAATGACAGCCGGGGCAAATCAAGACTTCGCAAGGAGTTCGTGAAATGGTGTGGCTTATATGTGTGTGTGTAAATGAGATGCAGGTGGGATCGTGTAATCAGGCCCAGGTAAGAGGGATGATGGGAAATGGAGTCCGAATGGAAGATCGCTAATACTCTGGGGACAGTTCCCTCTGGTGGTGCGGAGGAGGTGGTACGGGAGCCTCCTCCGTAACAATATATTTTAATCTTAAAATTAATCAGTTATTGCTTTTTATTACAAAAAAATGTTGTTATATAAAAGCCACTAAGTCTATTTCATAAATCTATTCCATTTTGTTTTTCTCCAGAAGCTCAAGCTCTGGTAAAACATGTACAATAATGAAATATTATCAATTTATATTTTGCTTGCCAAAATGTTGTTAATAGTTAATGTAATGTAGTTACAGGTGGCTCCTGCTAATGTTAAGAAGTCAAAACTTGTTGACGACTACAAATCACAAATCACTCTTAAATCTTTTGAATCTTGTCCTTTAAATCAACTTTGCAAAAAATAAGCGTGATTCAAAATGACCTGAACTTTCTGGTTTATATTATACCACATCAAAGAGCTGTAAAAATGTATAATGACTAAACAATATTGTCTGTTATTAGCTGTTGAGCTTATAGTGGAAAGCTGTGGGTGTGTTTTCCTGCAGGCTGTGGCAGCATGTGACCAGAGCGATTATGGATAAAGACCAGATGAGAGCCACGCAGGAGAAGTTTGTGCTGGAAGAGGCTCAGCGGCAGGAGGTCCGAGAACGAGCCGAGCGGCTCTGGAACCCACGACTCTTCACCTTCAACAGCGACACTAATGAGTGGCACTACAGATACCCCGAGTACGGTCACAATAGCACACTTATTCATTATCATACACAAGTGCTACAGAAATATAATGTGCTTTAAAGCAAAAACAACTAATTCCATAATTTTCATTGACGTATATGTATATTTGATAACACTTTATTTTAAGGTGTCCTTGTTATGCATGGTACATGTATGTACTATTGTAATAACAATTAATTATGCATAATTATATGCAAGTAACCCTAATCCTAACCGTATAGTAAGTACATGTAGTTAATTAATATCGCTCAGTACTTAAATGTATAATCACACTGTAACAAGGACACCTTAAAATAAAGTGTAACCGTATATTTGTTTTATTGGTAACACTTTACAATAAGGTCACATTAGTTAACATTAGTTATCTGCATCAGTTAACGTGAACTAATGGTGAAAAATAATCGTGGTTCTTTTTTTCTTTTTTTTTAGCATTTACTAGTACATTATTAAAATCAAAAGTTTTATCTGCTAACATTTAATGGAAGTGAGTTAACAATGAACAGTTAATGAATGTTAGCAAAGATGAATAAATAATGTAACAAATGTATTGCTCTTTGATGTTAGTTAAGGCAATTACTAATGCTATCTAATGTGACATTATAAAGTGTTACCTTTTATTAAATAATACATTATTATATATTATTACATGATGAATTATTGTAAATATTATATATGTTGTTATTATTATCATTATCATCATCATTATTAAATTATATAATGTTATTAATATTATTAACAACTATATGAAATTGTATGCATTTTATTATTTATATATATATATATATATATATATATATATATATGTGTGTATATATATATATATATATACATAATTAAAGATTATAATGTTATTAATATCTATATACAATTGTGTATCTATATCTATATATCCTTTTTTAATTAATGTCATTTATAGACACTTATTAATCATCATACACTGCAAAAAAAGTGATTTAAAGCCAAATTAAGTGATACTCTAATTTTCAATAGTATAAATGTTTATATATATATATACATATATATATATATATATATATATATATATACAATTTAAAAATGTTTTAATAGAAATTTTTATTATATATTTTATTACATATAATATAATATACAATTATTATTAGTATTAAATGCTATAATATATAACATTGTGTATATTTTATGAACATTAATATATAATTCATTTGAATAATTCAGTAATACTTAATGAATTACGATATTTTCGTTTATTATTTTTAATATACATTTTAATCTTTAAATGTATAAATCATTGCTTTTATTTTCAAGCATTTTTTATTGTTGTTGTTGTTAAATAAAAATGACAAATCCACAAATGTGGCAGTATTTCAGTAACTAATAATCTCCTCGTCCTGATTCTGTTCTCAGCGCTAAGCCGTGGGATCCGGAGCGCTGTCTGCTGCAGTTTGAGAAAGACGGCATCATCCAGACAAAAGAGAATTCCCAGCACCAACGCAGAAGCTTCTACAGCCAGAACTGGGCTGCACAGCAGAAGGTGAGTCGCACAGGGTTCCTGGTATTCTGTAAAGGAGGATTTATGTAGGTGACCTGCTGGCCCTTCAGGGTGTGTTTGGTTGACAGACGTGTGTTTCTCAGGTGCGGGTGAACGGCAAACACAGGAAGTCGAGCAGCCAGCCGTCCAGCTGCAGTCAGAACACAGAGAGCAGCAGCAGCACACCAGAACCCAACCATGAGTCATCCGACAATGAAGGCAAGTCATCAAGCCATACGCAAACACAGCTCCATCTATTCTAAGAGCTGAATAAATAGTTCTTCCGGCAATTAAAAGAGTTCATCAGTCTGACTGTGGACTGTTACAAAAGCTTCAAACGTGACTAATCCAATCAGATTTTCCAACTTCAGTTATCCGCTTTCTGAAAGAGTGTCTCATATCTGACTGATCTGATCAATATCTGACTTGATGCTGTATATTACAGTAAACTAAATGCATTTATAAAAATAATTTAGACACAACTTTTAAATACCTTTACAAAAACTGATTCAATCCAGACAAACAGCTTGGGAAAGCTTTAATAAAAATGAAGTGGCTTTAGAACATTGGCTGATTACACATGATAAAAAAAAAGAAATAAAACAAAATAAATGTATTCCAAAATAAACGATTTACTCTAAAATAAATATATTTATTGAAGAATAAAATATTTATTTTATATATCTAAAATATTTATTTTATATATCTAAAATATTTATTTTATATATCTAAAATATTTATTTTTCAAATAAATGTGTATTAAAATAAAATGTGTTTATTCTAAAATAAAGCAATTCTAAAATAAAAATGTTCTAAAATAAAAGTAGTTATTATAAAACATGCATTATATTTATCCTAAAATAAATGTTTAGTATAAACGAATTATTCTAAAATAAAAAATAGTTATTCTAAAACATGCATTATAAAATAAAAAAAATGTATCCTAAAATAAATGTTTAGCATAAAATTATATATATATAAAGGATCCTGAAATATTTATTTTAAAAACATATAAAATATATGTTTTATATATATTTGTATATTAATTAAATATATTATAAGTAAAATATTATCCTAAAAAATATATATAAAAATAAAATAAAGGTTAAAAAAAAGACCAAACTAACTAAAATATTTATTATAAAACAAAAAATATGTATTATAAACAAGTAGATTTTTAAATAAAGCTTGCATTATAAAATAAATAAATAACATATGTATTATAAAACTAAATAAATATATATTTTAAAGCAAAAATAAATATATATTTTAAAATAAAATTGAAAACCAATTCAAGTCTTTAGGTTGTTTGTTTTATATGTCTCTATGTGACTTCCTCAGGCTTCATGAACCAGTGTGCAAGATGCACTAAAGAAGGGAAGGACATCGCCCTCATAGAGGCCTCGGTAGCAGCTATACAGAAAACACAGCAGGACATCCAGAGGCAAGTATAGCCTGAGACCTACTGTATTCAGCATTATGCTATTCAGTATCGTCTATTAATCACACTGATCCCTGCATCTCAATCCCTGTTTCTTCAGAAACCTGAGTGCACTGGGTCGTCAGATCACGCGGCACAAGACAGCAGAGGAAAGCAAGTCCTTGAGCGGCCGCCACTGTCTCATCCTCTGCATGCTGTTGCTCTTCCAGCTACTCATCAACTACGTCTTCACTTGAGATGCTGTCACCTAGAGACCATCGCCTAGCAATAAACACAGCCAAACTATCACCGTCACATAGCCCCTTGAATGCCCCGCCGTGTTGTTGCTACTGACTGTAGCCACACCATAAAGCACCAAGCACTTCAATTAGAGAGAAAGAGACTCTTTTTTTTAATTAATATGACCGATAATCATTTCAGAGTGGATGTACAATGCTGTACTGCCACTCTCGGTAAGTGGCGTGTTCCCTCTTTCCTATGTACTTCCCTTTCTCTTGCAATATAGTATTTGTGGCATATTTGAATGCAGTTGAATGGGTTTGTGTGTCTATGTTCACGTTACCCACAAACTCCTCTTCCATTTATACACCGGGCCTTAATACTGATGCCAAAAAGGGGAAAAAAATAAGCGAAAAGTCAATGAAGTCCGCCAGTGCAATTTTATTATGCTTTCAAGTCAACGACTGACCACATAAATTTGCTCATTTTATTATTTTACCAAAACAGTGTTTCTGCATAGAACAGTACAGAGAAGAGTAAATGTTTACAAACTTGATTGTACACAAAGGAAACAATGCTCTGACACCAAATGCGTTGTGTAGATTTAGATGAAGTTAACAGAATTGGAGAGAGGACTATGATAACAGAATGAACAATTAGCCATAGGACTGTGGCAAGCTGGTTTAACATTTAATCCTTAAAACGTACTAGTATCTAGTTTCATACTACTGTTACTTATATTTTAGCCACTAGTATCTATTCTATTAAGTACTAGTACTTATTCTTTAGGTACTAGTTCTTAGGTGCTAGTACTTAATCATTAGCTACTTGTTCTTATTCATTATCTACTGGTGCTTATTCTTTAGCTACTAGTTCTTATTCATTTGCTACTAGTGCTTCATCATTAGCTACTAGGGCTTAATCATTAGCCTTTAGTGTTTATTTATTAGCTACTAGTTCTAATTCATTAGCTACTAGTTCTAATTCATTAGCTGATAGTTCTTATTCATTAGCTACTAGTTCTTATTCTTTAGCTACTAGTGCTTCATCATTAGCTACTAGTGCTTAATCATTAGCCTTTAGAGTTTATTTATTAGCTACTAGTTCTAATTCATTAGCTACTAGTTTTTATTCATTAGCTACTAGTGCTTATTCATTAACTAGTATTTCTTATTCTTTGTGTTACTAGTTCTTATTCATTATCAACTAGTGCTTATAGCCACTAGTAACTTTTTAAAGGTACTTTTACTTATTTCAGCAGTAACTAGTAACCATTCTATTGTTACTAGTAATACTTTTCAAATTGTTGACATTGACTTCTATGGGAATCTGTCATTCACATATCAACTATTTAGTACTAGTTTTATGTTATGACTAGTCAGAATAGCCACTGTAGAGTTCAATTAAAAATTGTACTAGTAATATTTGGTATAAGTACTAGTATCTATTTGATAAATAGGAGTATCTAATGAATAAGTCCTAGTATCCAATAAATAATAACTAGTATCTAATAATAGGTACTAGTATCTAAAAAATGAGTACTAGTACCTAATGAACAACTACTAGTATATAAAAAAGTACTAGTAATCTTATGTCACAATCTTATGTTATGCCACTGTACAGTTCAATTAAAAATCGAACTAGTAAAATTTGTAATAACTACTAGTATCTAATAAATGTGTACTAGTATGTAATATGTATGTAAAACTTGTATCTAATAAAAAAAAGTACTAGTATGTATTTAATAGGTACTAGTAGCATGAAAAAAAATATTAGTACATTGTAAGGATTAAATGTTAAACCGGCTTGCCATAATAAGAATATTCATATTCATGACTGTTTGTTGAGCATTGGGTAGGTCAGTCTCAATAGGGACATGTGAGGCCTTCTGGGAAGTTCCAGTTCATTGATTTTGTTCGTTCAATAACGAAGGTGTGACCGAGTAATCGAAAGTGTATATGTTTGTTTGGGAAATTTGAAATTGAGAATGTATTTATTTGATCATTTCACTTGATTTGTTTTATATATAATAATCGTATTGTTTTTAAGAACACATTCATTCAGGTTTTCTGGGAGCAAGTAGAGTCAAGCATCAAATCCCTTTCTCTTCCTGAGGTTTTTGCTGTTGTGAAGTTTGAGTGACCCCTTAGTGGGGAAATATTAAGGTCAAAGTACAAAATTTCCAATGCAGGATTCATATAGGAAATTTATGCTTGAATGATGCGTGAGCTCCTGAGCCATAGTTCAACCCATTGAAATGTACAATTATTTTTCATTTCCTTTTTTTCCTTTGTTACAGAGCACAGTACAATGTTATCTTGTCTGAAAACTGAAATGAATGAGATGTCAATGGCTCACTGTTTATTAATGATTGTTGCAATTACAGCACCACAGTAAAGTTTTACATTTCGACATGTTGCTTTGTCCTTTTTGAAACATTCGCACGCACAATAAGGAACACGTTTAGATCGGTTTTACAAAGTGTTTTACCATTTTTGCCACTATTTGAAAGCCATAAACTCCCTAATAGTTGTAATGTGTATTATATGTAGCCAGTGTTTTGTTATTAATTTGAAACAACCAAATACACTCAGAAAGTCAGCTGGAGGTTATCCTAACTTTAAGTAGTTATGATTTTAAAGAAGATTATTTTAAAGAATTCTTAAGTATTCACTCAAAACACCTCAGCAACATGCTAACCCTCAAAAGACATTAACAACGTGCTAGCAGTAGCTAATCACTTAAGGTGTATCCGGAATCTTTACCATCTTAATCGTCTGAGTACATTCTACATTTGATAAGAAATAAAGTTAACGTGGGTTTAAAAGTCTTTTCCATCTAGAATGAATGAAATCCAGATGTACTACATTTGTCTTATTACTATTGTCATGGGACTTTGGGTTTTGTCCCTTCACTGCCATTCACAACTCCTCTCCCGTGGCCTCATGGGATAATAAAGTGTCCAATCGATGCGCATTTCAGAATCTCGCCCGGAAATGGTAGGTTATCTGTGTTTTTCACCTACTGTTTTATGAATACTGTGAATTTGGACAGTACTTGTAGTACCTGTCTCATATATTTTTTCTTGCATTCTATATAGTAGGGAGGTAGACCTATTCGGAAGCAACATTAGAACACCTTAGCAACATGCAAACAACCACTCAGAACACCTTAGCAACTGTTTCGCAATACCCTGGCAAGCACCAATAACACCATTGCAGTGCTCTAACAATGAGAACACCTTAACAACATGCTAACAACACTCAGAACACCAAAGTAACTGCTTCGCAATGCCCTGGCATTCACCTAAACACACTAGCTATCATCTGTGCATAAGAGATGGGTAAAAAGTTCAAGGTCTTTTTTTTTTGGTTCAACGGCCTTCACAGTTGGAGTTTTCTTTTTGTTGTCACAGCAGGCAGTCCTAGAGCTTGTTGGGACATGGTAAAAAGTGTGTATACTTCTGAAAATCCCCTTCCTTCATCCACTTCCTTGAGTAAATGCAGGCCTGTGGAATGAAAGGGCAATATTTGCGGTCTGCTGTCTGATCTGGTCAAAAGAAAATAGAAATAAGAGACAACCTGCCTCAATACCTGTGGGTATATAGTTAAGTTTTTCATAGAAACTATGACTGTAGAAAAAGCCTCCAGGCAGAGGTTGGGTGTGGTTTTTCGGGAGCGTATGAGTCAGCGATCCACTTTTAAGCAATACACCTTCAAATACAGCTGTAGGTTAGAAGACAAGTGCTATTTAAGTTCAACATCTCATCCATGATCGCTTGGTTTCAGGCTGTCGTGTTGCACAGTGATGTTAATCCAGTCTCTAGGGAGCTAAGTTACTCTTAGCCAGTACACTTTTTAGCCTCGAGTCGTCTGATAAACGTTTACTTGGTAACTGTTCGTTTATTTGTCTTCATGGTGAACATTCAGTTTATAATGCCAATTGTCGGCCTATCACACTGATCGACAAGTCTCGGAGGGACAACAGTAGTTGCAAATACGCCAGGGCCTACAGGCTACATATCTGCGAGTGGGCACATACACTGGACCTTTGTGCTCTGATACGTGCGGGGGAAGACGGAAACGCTCCGAAAATGCAGGGCTTAATTAGGTCACATGTGTGCTGGACTCTACACAAAAGAATTCCCTCCTCCTACAGCTGTGTAATATGCTTTCTGGGAAACAAACATGAACTTAAGATTCAATGCCTGAGGACAAAGTGTTTATTAAATGATTGAACCGCAGTAGGTCCTTTTAGGTGGACATGACCCATACGTGATTGAAAGTAGAGCGTGCGTGGGTGTTCTGACAGTACTTCTGCAAGTCAAGACCCTTGGAGGCATGGCGGAACTCCTGGGTTCTTACTGTCACACCTTTCTTTGTTAACGGTTTCTGGATGCTCTTGGCATGGCTCCAGTCCCAAGGCCTGCAAAGAGTCTTTGTCCGGCTGTAATGTCCCCTGTGTAGTCATACATTTGGAGATTTGCTCTTTTGGAATGTGACTTGCATATTGACTCTGCATGTTCCCCCCAAGTTTATGAGGGTTTCTTCTGGATGTTTTGATTTCCCCTAAATCCAAAAACATACATGATAGGTGAATTGGAAACTAAATTGTCTATAGGTGAGTAGTGTCATGTGATGGACCATTCATCTGTCCAGGGTGTTTTCCTGTCTATGGCTTGAGAGGCTGGTATTGGCTCCAGCATCTCCGTGACCCTACGTAGGACAGGCAATTTGGAAGATAGACTGATGGATGTTAGTCCATCTAAAAAAAAGGGGCAGTCGTGGCCTAATAGATATAGAGTCGACTTGTAGCCAGAAGGTTTGAGTTCTCAGGTCCGGCAGGAATTGTTGGTGAGGGAAGTGAATAACCAGTGCTCTCTCCACCCTCAATACCATGACTGAGGTGAGACCCTTGAGCGAGGCACCGAACCCCCAACTGCTCCCCAGGTGCATTGGCTGCCCACTGCTCCGGGCTGTGTGTGTGTGTGTTCACTACTGTGCGTGTGCACTTGGATGGGTTAAATGCAGAGCACAAATTCCAAGTATGGGACACCATACTTGGCCACATGTCACTTCACTTTTTCACTTAAAAAGGGGGAGGGGTATGTTGGGTTTGAACTGCTATTTAAAACAAAAACAAGTTACTATAAGCAGTTAAAACCCTCTCTTAGAAGTTGTCACTGTAGAAACACAGACAATATTAAAGTTAAAAAAGGGAAGCTTAGCCTCACTGATGGACTAGTTGAATTTTGGACAACTGACTACTGAATCACTAGTCTGAACTTCTGGTCACTCTGGATAAAAGCATCCGCTACACTGTTGGAGTGCTGACCTAGCAGTTAGTGCTCATGTTCGGACATGTTGAGCCATGGTGCTTTTACAAGTGATGTGAGTTTGAACCTGATTCTATGATTTCCAGAATTCATTCCCCACTTTTCTCGCCAGTGTTGAGAAAGTCTTTTTTTTAAAAAAGTCTGCTGTCTTTCATTTAATAGAAAGTGTCAAACTTTCAAGAACTTTTAATTTATTATGGACCACTGCAATGGCTTATAAAGTGAGAGATGAGAGGGCAGGACACTAAATCTAGACTTAGGTGTGTTGGGAGGACAAGGTGTTGACTAGTTTGGGTTGTTCTTGCGGATGTTTGCCAAGTAATTACCACTCCTGAGCTTCCTCGATCTGAGCCATCTCAGATTACAGAGCACAGGGAGGCGTCAGAGTCATGCCTTGACATGTTCACTAAGTCAGAGCAGGGATCGCTTGCATACAGAAAGACACACATTCAGACACATTCGTTATATTTTCAGACACATTCATTATATTTTAGTCTACAGAAGCAATAAAAAATCGGTTTGTTTTGAATAGGGCTTTATTTAACCACAGGGTACAATAAGTGAAACTGTAGTTTCTGTGCAGTATAATTAGGCATAACAAACATTATTATTACTATAACTCATATTTAGGGTTAGGATTTGTTAAAATCCTTAACCTTTAGTATTCAGATTTGCTGCAGAACTTGTCCTGTACTGTTTGTGCTACATCACATAGATATTTTATTTATGCTTTTTCACTTGGGGAACATTGAATTAACATTAAAACAACACTGAATTTACAAACTAGTAATACTGAATCGAAGTTGAAACAATGCTTATTCAGCAGTTAAACAATGCTGATTCAGTGACTCACACATAAACTACTGAATCAATGCAAATCAATACTCAATCAACATTAAACCAACACAGACTTAAATGCGGAATTAATACTGAATCAACACTGAAATATTGGATTTCCATTTTTTTTAAAAAAGCGCTATTCTTTTGCGCATCTTAAAATGACATGTTAGGCCTGACTGTCATATCATCAGTCTTGGAAATGCCACTTGGCCAATCAAATTTAAGGAACAGAACTAATTGTTGTATAATGAAGAATTACAGTGCAGTGTTCCTAATTTACATTAGATTATCCGGTCTGATTATTTTGGATGAGTTCAACCTAAACTTTTTACAATTTACGATTTTACCACAACTGCCATAAATAGATAATACCTGTAGTATAATACATAGTTCCTGTAACTTATAAAACTTTTTTTTGTAAACTTTAAATATTTTTTTTTACAAGTGAATATGTAATGTCAACATTGATGAAGATTAGTACCCAGACACTAAATTTATTATTGGATAAACTGTTTTGAAAAATAAATAAATGAAAATAAAAAATGCCAGGTCTTAACCTTGTGACTACATTGTGTGCATTTTTTCAAGCAGCTTTGATGCCGGATTCATGGTTAAAAAGACGTTTTATTATAAAAAGTTACCCACGTGACAGAAAGGAAATGATTCATTAGCAGTTGAGGGTTTGAACTCGTCAGTCTGCAGGTGTGGTGGAGCTGTTGTGTTCAGCCATTGTCTTTCACTACCAGTTTGTCATAGTGGAATTTTTTTTTGTCTTGTTTTCTAGTACAAATATCCAAAAATATGTTTATTTGAGAAATTGCATAAGATATCTATTTTCATTTGTTTTCTTAAATTAAGTCTATTTTCGTACAAATCTAGTGATCAGAAAGGGAAAGGCCGCCTCACTCAGCTAGGACTCGAACCAGGGACCTTCTTGCTGTGAGGAAAAAGTGCTATATGTTGAGCCACCACGTTCCTACTGCTTCATTTTAAATGTTTTAAGATTTAACCTTGCAAAATTTTTCTGCAGTTATAACTAAAACAAAACAAATAGAAATTCCTTGTAATGAGTTGTCAGCTACGCATATTTCAAAATACCACAAGATGAGCTACAGCGGGCATCATAAACAGAGCCCCATTTGTCTTCTTCAACCATGGTGCCCTGCCTGTCTGTTTCCAACAGACTGCTGTGACCTGTTTCGAAAGAAAAATGGAGCAGCCTCCTTTAGCAGGGTGGGTCATGACTGGCTGAATTGAGCTTGT